ACAACTTAGGCTGTTAAGCTTAACCTCACTATCTGTCTGAATATCAAACATTTTAGGCATAACATGGAACAGGTATTTTTCATCAATATTGATAGGTTAAACTTTAGGTCCCTACAGAATATGACAAAAAATTTTAAAAAATTAAAATATATTTTAAAAATAAGAATAAAGAATTATATGTTTACACATAAGTCCAGAAATCTAACCATATAAAACATTGTTGCAGCACAGTCCTGCAATGCTCCTTTTCCTGTCTCCTGCCTTCATTCACCACCCCCTTCCTTTTTAAACAATCATCTACCTGAGAGACAGCATGGCAGCAACTGGCGTGTCATGACAAGCAGCCCATATTCAGAAGACCAGAATGACAGGCACTACAAGCATGAGTATATCTTTTTTTAAAAGTGAGATTAAAAGCTTTCTTATTATTCTGTTGTGCTTAATTAAGTTATTTATTAATATAATTAGTGCCTTATTAGATTGAAATCTCAGTCACAAATCTATAAGTTTTGAACCAGAGACACCAAAATAATTTATTATTAACAGCCATCTTAGAGAAATAAGTGTACTGAATTCTTTATGTAACTTAGATTTTAAAAGTGTGTCTATTTTTTTTAAAAGAATTTTTCCTTTAGAGAAGTGCCTTTATTTTTTGATTCCACATGCATTTGGGCTGAGTTAATGTAACTAGGCAGAACTGGTTGGAGTTCTTTGGTGGGAAGTGTAGGGATCTTAGGGTCTCTTGTGAGCTACCACCTCATTCTCCTATGGTTCTAGCATAGTGCATGGAGTTGTGCCCCCTTCCAACATACAAAGTATACTGAATTCTTGGTTTTGAGAGACTTTTTTAAGTAGAGCTACCTCCCTTTCATTCTTGAATCACAAGATCTTCAAATTGCCATTTCTGTATGGATTAAAAGCAGACACCACATCTTAAGTTTGTAAATATTTTGGTCATTGTGATGAATTCTGCATTTCAAGTTTTTTTCAGCCAGGGAAGACTTATTGTTGCTTCTCTCAGTAAGCATACTATGTCAGCCAACTGGTTAACAATGATTGTGAGCATATTCAGTAGCCATAGCACTAGATGTTCAGGAATCCAGGACAAAAATGTCCCTGATTACCTTATGCAGATAGTAAACAGGGTGTACTGGCACATATCTGTAACCCCAGCTACTTGTGAGTTTGATACTGCAATTTTGAAGCCAGCCTGAGTGACTTAGTGAGACTCTGTTTCAACATAAAAGCTGTAAAGGGCTGATGATGTAGTTCACTGGTGTAGCATTCTTGGATTCAGGCCTTAGTACCACACACAAACACTCAAAAGGATGCCTGGAACCATAGGTACTACAGTACTAAACCCTATCCATGTATACTATGTCCCTCCCAAAAAATACACCACATATGGTAAAGTTTCATTTATAAATTAAGCCAAGTAGGCTGGGGAGATATCTCAGTGGTCTAAGTGCCTGCCTGACAAGTACAAGGACCTGGGTTCAATCCCCGGTACTGCATGCTGTGCCAGCCCTGAAACCTAGTGTGGTGGCATGCCTATAATTCCATTGCTGGGGAGTATGAGACAGGAGGATCACTATGAGCCTGAAGTGTGTAGTGAGACCCTGTATCAAATAAATACATAAATCCAAGTAAGAGATTAAGAATAATATTAGAATAATACTAGAATAAAAGTAAAAGTTATGACTCTGTGAAGAGTCGCCTCAAAATCTGCAAAGAATGAAGATAGGTACTGGTATTTTTTGATTGTTGTTGGCTGCAAAGATCTGAAATCACAGAAAGCAGAGCATGGGATACAGGAGGACTACTGTATATAAGATGCATCCTTGGGATGGATTGCCTGAGGGGTCAGAATAGTTTGATTCTCAGAGGACAAAAGAGGCATTTTGACACTTTTTCTTAACACTGCTGCTCTAGGTTTGGGTATCCTGGGTCAGAGATTGCATTGTAGTCTCAGAATCCCTCACTGTTGGTTGTCACATGGTTTCTGGACTAGCCACTCCAAGTGCAGAAATAAGCACATGCATGACTCTTGTTCTGAGTCTGGAATAGAATAGTAATAGCACTAACTCATTAACTGCTTTAACTGAATCACAGGAACGGTCTATAGGGCCTCAAAGGTAATTCTCCTGGCCATATTTTCCTAGACATTTGCCTGTTATGTCCTACCCTTGTAGTTTGTCTTCTCATATCTTAATTATTCCCTTTTATAGCAGAAAACGTGTCGTTGAAATTTTGCTACTTCTTGTAGAAAAATCCTATGTATGTAAACACTGTTTTCTTTTCAGTGTTTATGAGTGAAAACAGAAGGCCTTGCACACATTAGGAAAGTTCTCTACACTGAGCAACATCTCTAGCCCTTCTGAGACAGGGTCTCATTAAATTGCCTGTGTGAGACTTGAACTGGAGAGCTTTTTGCTCAGCCTCCTAAGTAGCTATTATAGTAGAAATGGTACATCTTGATTCGGAACTTACAAAAAGTGAATATAAACTGGGTGAAGTTGATTTTAAAAAATATTAAGACATTAGAAAATTAAAGAAATTATCCTTACAGCTCATATTATGTCAAGGAATCTCAGTGAATCAAAAAACTAAAAAAAACTGTCATCCAAGACTAATCTTCCTCTAGCAGAGTGGCACAATGAGAAACTTAAAACTTTGCATGTTTACATCTCGTACTAGAAGGGCAGTGTGCCCGCGGCAGACCACGTTACCAGGCACTTTTCTGCTCTTTTGGTTCTCCTTCAAGTGCTTAATATTTGGCATGCATTAGGTCTCAAGTGATTCTCATAGGACAAAAGAGGCATTTAATAAAAAAGAAAAACAGAAATCAAGTAAACAAAGTTGTAACTTGACCACTAGATCTGGATTCTGAGCTGGTCTTGTTTCCATGTAGCGTGTAGGCCATTTTGGCCCTCATGGGACCAGGATACTGACAGAGCCCTTGCAGACATCTCAGTGACTGCTACCTCACCCTCAGCGATGAGCAAGTGGCCATGTCTGGCTTGAGTCCCACTTTGAAGTCACTCTATCTGAGTGTGCCTGCTCTTCTATTCCAGTTTTTTTCCTACTGTGTCTCAACTGGCTGGAGATGGTCTGGTAGTCATCCATTTGACAGTGACTCAGCTTTTTAAATAGGCTAGGAGTTAATAAACCACCAGACTTGATCTCTGAAATAATATGGCTAGCCTGTACTTCATCTCTTAAGTAACTGAACTGGGCCCTGAACTCAGGTATTGCCAATGACCACATCTCTTTCTCTCTCTCTCTCTCGCTCTCTCTCTCTCTCTCTTTTTTTTTTTTTTTTTTAACTTTTTTTTTAACTCCTTTCTGCCCTGGCCTAAATTTTGTCTTGAACTCTGTTTTGATCTGGATGCTGCTGATTTAGTCTGTTCTGTTCTGCTTTGAAACTAAGTTTTCCCACGTCTTTCACCATAACTGGAACAATAGACCACAAAATAGTGACAAATTGCTCCCCTCTGTGTCTGCTGTCCCTTCTTATTGCCCCCACCCTGGTCTGGCCATGGGCTTTCACTGACTAGTGGGACATTAATCAATGTGACTCCCCAGAAGCTAGAA